CAGTGTCTGGAATAGCTAAGTCATTGCCTTCCATGAGCAGCTGATCTATCTTGGTTGCCCTTCTCCCTTCAGGTATCCTACAGGAATGCTGACAGCTCCCACACTGGCTGGTAACCCACTTAGCAGCGATGAAAAATATTCTTCATGCTGTGCTCAGAAAACCCCACTGAGACTTCAGCCCTTTCCTGAGCAAACAGGATATTTAAACATTTCAGTTACAGAATTCAGCCCCTAAAGAAACCACGTGCCACAATCTCTGCCCACCTGCATGACGAACAGCTGGGCGGGCAGCACAGCACCAGTGAGCTCCAAAGCAGTACGTCAGACTCAACTTTTGAGAATAAGGGGAAAGAAATGCACTTCCTCAAGGCAGAAGCATGAGAAAGCCAGGACTTTAAAGAGGTTTTAAACAGCAGGACATGTGTACTGAAAAGCGAGAACAGTTCTAGATAGGTTCCAGCTTTATTGCAAGGACTAAAAACTCCGCAGGGTTTGAAGAACTGGGTTGTAAAGCAATCTGGAAATCAGCAGTCCTTTGGAGCTCAGCATCTTTCACAAAGAAAGGGGCAGAAACTGGGAGCAAAGGTTAAAGCAGATGAGTCTCTGAGAAGCAGTGAGCTCATCCTTCCTCCTTTCAGACTGACCAGGACACAGCCTGGATCAAATCCCATTTCTGCTGCCTAGCGTCTACCCCCATTCTTTCTAGCTTTATACAATTTGGATAAAGCAAAGGAAAGGGCTGTGGTAGAATCCAACTGGAAGCACAGAGTTAGCTCTAATACAGGCAAGTGACACCGGGCAAACACAAACAGAGCAGACAGGCCTGAAAAGTGCTACAAAGAGCTGATCTTCTACAGCACGGCTTTGCCTTTCCAACTGTTCCTTTTGCACTTTCACAATCCAATGGTTTCAGCAACTTCCCACCAGATGCCTGAGGTTGCAGCTTCCCCCCGACTTTTAAGTTTCACAAATTTTGACAGCAAATAACGCAATCAATCTGTCTGCTGGCCGTCACTCACATCGCTTAGAGACTTAGAAAACAAATCACGCCGCATTTGCACACAGAGGGGGGGGCATCGGGCCCAAATAACGACAAAAAACTGGAAAGCAACCACAGAGCAACCCAAAGGCAAAGTTTGCTCGCTACCACCTGGCGCACGTTTTGCAAAGGAAGGGACGGCTGGCTCTGCAGCACGGGCTGGATGTCGGACCCCCCGTTCGGAGGACGCAGCCGCCCAACGCCCCTCGATAGCGGCAGTGCCGGGGGGTTCGGCCGCCCCTCACCTTCTGGATGGAGGATTTTCCGCTGCGCCGCAGCCCCATCAGAAGGATCCGCGGCTTCGAGTCCGCCCCGCCCGCGCCGCCCCCGGGCCCTCCTGCACCGCCTCCTGGCCCTCCGGACCCCGGGCCGCCTTCCAGCTCAGCCTCTTCCTCCTCCTCCCCGTAGCCGAAGTCTTTAGGGAACGAGTCGGCCGCCCCGAAGCTGCCCCCCACCAGCGCCGGCTCCTCCGCCGCGCCCGCCGCGCCCGCTCCGCCGAACTGCAGCGCCATGTCGGCCCGGCCCGGCCCTCCGCCTGCGCCGCAGCGCCCCGCCCACCCGACCCCCTATTGGTTGGCAGAGAAACGCGCGACGCCGATTGGCTGAAGGAGTCGGCGCGGTGCGGAGCTCCGGTCAGGCGGATCGGGTCACGTGACGGCACTGGAGCACGTGAGCGGTGGGGGCGGTGCTGCGGGGCGGCCCGGGAAGCGGCGGCTGCGGAACAGCGGGGCTGCACGGACAGACGGACGCGGGTGGCTCTGCCCGTCCGCGGGTCACTCGTTTCCCCACCGGCAGCAGTTGCACGGCGCGGATGGTCGTTAAATGGAAATGGTTTGAAGTTGAAGGAGGGGAGATTGAGGTTGGATGTCACGGGGAAGTTATTTACTGCGAGAGTGGTGAGGTGCTGGAACAGCTGCCCAGAGGCTGTGGATGCCCCGTCCATCCCTGGAGGTGTTCAAGGCCAGGTTGGATGGGGCCCTGGGCAGCCTGGTCTAGTATTCAATGTGGAGGTTGGTGGCCCTGCATGTGGTGAGGGTTGGAGCTTCGTGACCCTTGAGGTCCCTTCCAACCCTGGCCATTCTGCGATCAATCCATTTCAAACGTGACTTAAAACCCAGGAGACCCAAGGCCTGCCTCCAGCCCTGTGCTTCCCTCGGCCTGACACCACCCCCTGCTGCTCCCCTATCAACAGGGGCTCAGGACTCACTGCTCCCCCCCCCTTACAGCACTGATTCATCTGCCTCATGCATTCTGCACAGCAGCCCCTTCCCAGCCTGCACACACACACTACAGTTCATGCTATATGTTCATTTACCTCCTGTAATAGAGATGAAAGTCCAGTGGGGGTTGTTTTGCTTTTGAAACTCTTACACTTATTTCCTCTTTCAGCTCCCTTTTATTCTCTTTGGTTCAACCATAGACACAGAAGTAAAACGAATAACCACAGAACAGCTGCACACTCACTAGTTTTCCTTTAAGATGAGGTACCCACAAAGACAAGCAGCGCTCACACAGAAGAGGCAGGACTGCAGTTCTCAGGAAGCCCTTTATTAAGTCAAGGTATGAAAGGAGAGACTACTGTTATTCATCACGCTTCTCTTCTTGAGGTGGTTCATATTGAGCCAGCTGTGGATTTAAAGAGAGGAATTCTGTTAGATGTCACATCTTAAGAGACACAGGAGCTCCAGAGTTGTATTGGCTGCAGCACAAGTTAATGTCCCACAGGGGGAAGGGTGACCTCCCCTGGTAAAACCCTGCCACAGACCTGTGCCAGGGCTCAGTCTAACACAAGTTCCCCACTTGCATTCAGCCTCTGGAAAGTCTTCATAGTAATGCATTAACTTCCCCCAGCCCTGCTTTTCAAAGCTCTTATGGAACCATAAGCTATACAGTAGCAGATCAAAACAAACGGGACTGAATGATGAGGTGGAGTTTCCCAAGATGCCTCATCTTACTTATTTTGTAAAAAGTCTGTAGTTAGCAAAAACTGCATTCCAGAATACAAGTCCCTCATCAGAAGCTACATACAGGTAGGCAAGGAATGAAATGCATTCCCCAGCCACAAGGCTGAACAATAGATCATCATCATCAGTTATTCCAGTGAAAGTTAGCTGTATTGTAAGTGTCAAAGTACTCTTCTTGTCACATACGGAAGTACTTAGAAATATTAAATAGACTTTTACTTTGGTTTTCAGTTTTTTATTTTCTTCCAACACAGCTTCATATTTTTCCTTCATCTCTGCTACTTCCAAGCGAAGTGCCTCCACTTCTGGACTCTCGGGAGCTGAAGCTCCCAGGTGATGCTTCAGAAAGCTGATATATACATGTTAAGTACTTCCTCAGATAGACAGAAAGACACTTGGTTTTAACATTTAATCATAAATTAGTGCTGCAATAAACATGACCAGAACAGCATTTAATCACTCAAATTACTGCCATGCTTCTCATCCTACAGAAAGAAGCTGAAAAAATAAGAAAGCTTTCCTTTCCAAATTTATTGGTATATTCCACAGAAAGACATCAGTACATACAAGACAGCTACTCACATTTCGCTACACCAACATCTTTTTTGGTAGCTTATCAGTTTATGTTCCAAACAGTGAAAGGACAACCAAACAGAGCAGGCTGCTTATAACAGCAAGAAACAATCCAAAAAGGACAAAAAAGGATACTCCAATGCACTGCTTGGTTTCTCTGGCTCTTCATATAAGGCTACTAGCACTGCAAATATGAAATATTCAACCATTATAAGACATTTGTGCAACTCCAGTTCTCAAAACACATACAGCAGTCAGAATGCATAACAGTTCTGTGCCGTGCTTACAACACATTCTCCTATTTAAGAAGATTCTCACCTATATCCTTCATGATAAGGACAGAGCTGTACAGGAGGAAGTAGTGCACCCCACATTTCAACAGTTGAGCAGAAGGGATTTTATTTTTTGACCACAGGGTTTGAGTACAGAACACAAAATAAATGACGTAACACACACACAGCAGAGCACACACTTCTATAATTTGCTTTCATAAATGCTTCTCAAGAACTACTTGCAGAGAGCTTAAGTGCCTCCCTCCCACTTTCAGCCACACGAATTGCACAGGCAAGTTGGTTTTAAGCTTAGCACTTAAGTTAGAAGCAAAATTCGGTTCCCACAGGGCTTAGAAGATTTGTTTCGCTGTCACACTTTGCATAGCCACACCTACAGGAAACCAAAGGGCCCCAACACGCCAGGGAAGGCTCAGCACAGAGCCGCACAGCTGCTACACCCCACAAGCAGTGCACTTTATGAAGCAGGAACACCAACATCCTGCTGAAAGGCTCCCCAGAACGCATACAGATAGCTTAATGGACTTAAGCCATAAGAAAACAAGCGCGCTGAGCTCGCAGCGTGCTTTTACTCCCTACCCTGATAAACACAGCCGCTTCCACAAAAACCCACGAGCTCCCCAGCGTTAGCAGCCCCGCACCCAGCAGCGCCGTCCCGTTGCTCTGCCCCAACGCCCAGCTCCAGCAGCACCACGGCCTGACCCTCGGGCCGCCTTACCCTTAGTGAGCGTATCCAGCACCCCCGACTTCTCCAGGTAGCGCCGAAACTGCTCCCGCTTCGAGTCCGCGGCCTGAAGGAGGACGCCCACACGGTCAGAGCGCCGACGCACCCCTGCCTACGGAGGCGGTTCGGCCGGGCGAAGCGGCCCCTCCCCACCGCCGAAGGAGGGCACCGGGACGGCCCCGCCGCCCCTCGCGGGCCCGCAGCCCTACCTTGTGGTGCGCCATCTACCCCGCAGCGCCCGCACCGCCCGCGCCCGCCTCCTTTATGGCGCCCCGGCTTCCTACCGTTGCCATGGCGACGCAACCGGAAGTCCCGCCCTCTGCCTCGCTCTCGGCTCGGCCGTTGATTGGCCGGAGCCTGCTGGAGGCTTCCGGTCGCTGGAGGTTTGCGCCTGCGCAGTGCTTTCAAGTGTCAGTGTGGGCAGCGTGGTTGATCCGGCCATTAAAAAGAGCCCACCTGAGCGCTCCATGCCTGCCATGCGGGGTCCTTTCTAACCTCGAGCAGGCAGAAGCGTACTGCGTGCCACACGCGAGCCCCTCAGTGCCGTCTCTCTGCTCTTTAGGCTGTGCAGTGAACGCGTGTTTTACTTTTGAGGTGTCAAATGGCAAAACGTGGCTTGCAGACACTGTAGGGAGTGTAGGGGTTAAATGGCACCGGTGTGTGTCCGTGGTGTCAAACCCCACAGCGCCCACGGTTACACAGAGCTGTAACTGAATACACACAGAATGAGAACAGAGATAAAAAACAACAGCTGCTGGAGAAACACCTACTGAGAATGATTTTAATGATGCCAACACTTGGTGTGGATGCGGTCAAGTGGCTGCAAGCGAAAGCACCGTGCTGGTTTCCTGGTTCCTTTTCTGCTTTCCTGGTTCTAAAAATGTTATTTATTGCTAATTGTTTTCTCTCAGGTATCCCAGTGCCTTCTTTCACCTAATTTCATTTACTGGTTTTCATAAAATACATTTTTAGACTGGAATTTTGTCTTCTACTTTTATCCGGCTTACGTATCGCCGGCTGTAATTTTAATCCTGACTTCTCCTCATGTGTGGATTTGTACGTGGATTTACATGATGTACGTTTTCCTTTGCAGCTGGAAGGTTAATGCAGAAGCTTGGCACAGAGGTTTAAGCCACCCCTCCGTCACCAGCGAAGCAAGCAGATGGTTCAGAAGTCATTTAGCTAAAAGCAAAAGGGCCGCACAACTTCTATCTTAACCTCTGCGGAAGGCTAGAGCTGAATGAGGAAGAAGCAGCTCATGGCTGCTCTTGCTTCTATCACAAAGCCCAGCAGCTAGCCAAGCACAGAGCTTGGGCAGCCCTGCTATATCTGCAGGTCGGTGGGGGCCCGCCGGCTGCTCGCACTGCTCGACAGTGATGGACGCCCAGATAAGGGCAGCGGTTGGGGGCTGCCGCAGCCCCGGCTCTGCTTGGAGCCAATGCTGGCCTCCCCTGCTGAATCGGGGGTATTGGGGCGGCTGGGGTGCCGGGTGTCGGCTTTGGGGGGCAGTTGGCCTTGGCTCGTGCTGAGGCTGCTCCGTCTCCTGCTGCCGCTCTTTGTGAGGGAATTTGTGGAGGATCCGACGCTCTCGGCCGCTGCGGAGCAGTTCCAGGAGGAGATGATTCCGTGCTGTCTTCTGAGGCTGGCAACGGGAAAAGGCTGCAGAGGGGGCTGCGACAGCATCTCAGCAAAGCTTCTTGAAGTGGTATCTGCATTCTGAGTACCAGCAAGGAAGTGTTTCTGATCAGCTTCTTTCTGGGAATTCCTCCTTTCGGTCCCAAGCTTGCCCAGCAAGCCTTCAGTGCAGTTTGTGCTGGCATTCTGAGTCTGACCAGCTAAAGAATTTGTAGCTGGCTTTTTCTTCAGCAGTTTGTTTTCCTGATTGTGGTGGGTGTGATTGCCTCTATTTTCTGTGTGGTTATTTTGAATAGACTGGAACATGGGAGCAGAATTTAAGACCGGGTAGATGGCAGTGTCGGTTTGCTTTTCCATTAGAAAGGCATAACCGCTAAGTACAGAAGGGAGAGTTTTTTGAGGAGTTGCAGATACTCCCAGAGAAGAGCGGGGTATCACAGAGTATTTCTTGGATTTGTTTGTGTAGAAATTGCCACGGTAATCCTTGTTTTCCTCCTGCCCACAAAGACCTATTTTAATTTTTCGGAATCCGAGGTGGATAATTTCTAAGACATTTAAAAGCAATGATACGGTCGCTATTGACTGCATGAACAGGATGAACACTGTCTTTTCTGTTGGCCGTGATACAAAGCAGTCGACTACGTTTGGACACGGATCTCTTTGACATTTATAAAGGGGATCCAGGCGAAACCCATAAAGCAGATACTGCCCAATCATGAAACCAACTTCCACTGCAGACCTAGTGAAAATGTGTATCACGTAAGTGCAGAGCAACGAACCTCGCAGGGGTGCTTTGTTCAGCTTTCTTTGGTCCAGCTGCCGGAGTTCCCTCTCCAGCCTTTTCCGATATTCTGTCATTTCTAATTCAGTGCTTTCAAGTTCCACTCTCACCTGAGCTTTCTTCTTCTGTCTCTCTTTCTCTAAGGCTCTTAGTCTGTATAAGGCATGGCCCATATACACCAAAGAAGGAGAAGACACAAAGATAACTTGCAAGACCCAGTATCTTATGAGAGAGATGGGAAAGGCCTCATCATAGCACACATTCCTGCAGCCAGGTTGCTCAGTATTGCAAATAAATTCTGACTGTTCATCATTCCAGACGTCCTCGGTGGCCACTCCAAGGACAAGCATTCGGAACACGAAGAGGATGGTTAGCCAAATCTTGCCAATAATAGTGGAGTGAATGTGGACCTCCTCCAGAATGCCTCCAAGGAAATTCCAGTCTCCCATGGTTATTGTGCCATTTTAACACTAGAACGTATGAGAGAGCAAGCATCAGATATTGTAAAAGCTACAGCCCTTAAATTCATCTTGAATTCATTACAAAAAAACAACATCATCACATGGTGTCAATTGCAGCATGACATTACTCACTGGCATTGTAGGCTAAAAGACATTGGCATTTCTCAGCTAAAAGACATAGAAGTGCATCCACCTGTGTCTAATTTATCATTAAAAGACACCCAGGCAAGGATGTAACGATGGTATGCAGCATCCCTGTGCATCTGAGTCAGTGGAAAATACAGTGCCTGCCTCACAGCAGGACTGGATACCAGGGATCTGCTTCCCCACCATCCAATAGATCCCACGTGAGAGTGGGATGTTTATCTGTAGGATAACTGAGAAGGTGATGAGTTTTTCTTTATTATTTGCAGGCAAATAGAGAAATACTTCCTGGCCCTCATTTTCAGTGTTGTGAGCAATGTGTTGCAGCTGAAGTGATGGTTCTGTCAACTTTTTGCTGTGAAATCTGGTTACACTTAGGATCTCATGAGGAAGTAAAACACAACAAAAAGGCAGTGATTGATTATTTTTAAGTATTTTTAAGCATATAATTGAGAGCAAATAACTGCTAAGCAAATAAATAAACCCCCATCACCAGTCCCATTCCCTCTGCTTGATGACACCTCTGTTTGAACAGTGTCCAAGCACCAAGTGCTGCTACCTTTGCCCGTGAGCCTATGAAAAAAAAAAGAATGACTTATGCAAAAAATTATCTGCTGGCTTCATAAACAGTTCTGTTTGTAGATATAACATTACTTTGTTTGGAATTCAGTCACATTAAAAACAGCATAATCTGATTTCTTAGTACATAGGTCATTTAACACAGAGCTTTCGGTTCAGATGTAATTTTGGCACTGTAAAACAAGAATATTAAGGAAGTAAATGGATGGTAAATTCTTGTGGCTGCAATACCACTGACTACAGAGGAAATGCTACAGGAAGACAGCTAATAAACACAAAAATACACTTTCAAACTGGCAGACAAATAGGTGTTAGGCATCATAAAAGAGAAACAAGTGAAAATAAACAGCACGTTAGAAATAAAACATACCTTTCTTTACAGAAAATGTGTAAAATTAAGCTGTATGGTGTCCAGTGACATCTTCCATCCGTGTGCGTGGATTTCACATTCTGAACAGTTTATGTCACCACCGGAGCAATTGGTGGAGTGCAGGCTCTGCACACTTGAATTTATATTTGCTGGGGATGGAGGGAGGAGAAAATCAATGTGTTGGTCCGTCTGCTACAGCTCTGAGCACAATTCAACTGTGACTAAATTAATATTTATGGAGGGGGGGGGGTGAGGAGGAGGGGAAATCACATTCAAAGAAAAGCTAGAAATGAAAAATCCACAGCTTGAGCTTCCTACCAACCATGTTCCCTTTCACCCTCCAAAGGAAAGAGGTACATCTGCTGTGTCGGAGCTTCCCAGCATAGGCAGAGATGAGGCAGGGATGGCCGGGTCCATAGCAGCCCAACACGAGGCCGAGACGTGGCACTAAGCACTCCTTTAGGTTTCTCTGATCAGTGCCCTGCTAAAGTGCATCGCCAATACAAGTGTCCTGCGTAGGATGTGAACACACTTCCTCTACAACAGCTCTGAAGAGCCCATCGATACCTTTTAATTTCGGTCTGAGGATCAGTCAATAGGTCACGTCCGATTTCACAGCTCGGTGGCAGTGAGGGAAGCACTCGATTGCTCCAGCTGTGCCACCAGTGCTCTCTGTAAGCACTTGCAGCAGCTGTGAGGCATCAACCTGCTGCTACTACAGAGGGATCTTCATCCATCCACGCGGTCTGCAGATGCCTCCCAACCTTTGCAAAGATGCTGAAGTTCTGTTTGATAATCTCAGGTGTTAGAGGAAACGTTGGAAGTATCCACTGACAACTTCATGCTAGTGATGTGCTGCTCTGTGCTTTAGTGCAGGGATTTTGCAGCTATAACTGTTTACACGGACTGGCACACCAATGCTCAGCATTTAGCAGTGCCAGGACAGAGCACTGCTTTCTTTCAGGTCAATTTCATAGAATCATAGAATGGCCTGGGTTGCAAAGGACCTCAGTGCTCATCTAGATCCAACCCCCTGCTACATGTAGGGTCACCAACCAGCAGACCAGGCTGCCCAGAGCCACATCCAGCCTGGCCTTGAATGCCTGCAGGGATGGGGCATCACAACCTCCTTGGGCAACATGTTCCATTCTCTTTTACTGTAGTTGTTTTTTGCTGTAAGATAAACTATGTTTCATCTAACTACTAAATTGCGTTTTCTTAGCTCAAGGTCAAACTCCCTAAAATTCCTTTGATCAGGGAAACATTCTCCCAAGACCTTTTCGTTCCTACTCATCAGTAATGTGCACTTCATGTGCAGAATTGATTTTTATTTCCTACTCAATTTGTCTGACCCACAACGACCAACTGGATAACCAGAGCACAGACATCAGCAACGTCCCACGGGCTGTCAGCACAGCGCAGACTCACTCTGATGGTTCTGTTTCCATGGTTACGTCAGGGTCACAAAGGATGAACTGCAATACCAACAAATTTGGACAATCATACTACTTAACATTGTCCATGATTGCAAAATGCAGCAGTACCGTGTTAGGAGGCAGATTGCTGTATAGAGATACACTGCTGACATTTCACCATTCTCAGTGCTGGTGTATGGGATCAATTGTTATTGATATCCATGCAAATCAGTAGATGCAGACTGGTGGGTCTGCTTTCCTAAGCACTATTTCTGAGGATGCCCTGAGGATGAAGGTGGTTTTTGGTCATTGGTTATTTTTAAGCTTAGGCAGCATGCAGCATTTCTACTGGGGATGTTTTTTGTTCCTGCACAAGTTCCTCAATCCTTTGCAAAGAGCTCCTTGCAAGGCAGCAGGGCACCCAATGTTCCACACTAAGCTGAGAGACAGCTCAGTAATATTCAGGATTTCCCAGTTTAGGAATTTTGTAGATTAAAGGTGGCAACATTTAAATGCCATTCCTACAGCTAAGAAATACCAGCCTGACATGCCTCAGCACCTTCAAACAAAAAGTGGTTGGCACAGCACCAGTTGACACTGAGCAACAGCTGTGCTGGAGCCGGAGGGCAGCAGTTGTGGCTCTCAGCTGCCCTGCACTGCTCAGATCTGGGTTCTGTGCTTTGCCCCATCGAGGCAGTGCACTGCTGTTGTGCAGGGGTGCAGAGCTCCTCCGGATCCCCCAGGTCTCAGTCCCCACCAGATCACCCTTCAGACCCCAGGAAAGCAACAGAGCGAGTCCTCCTGGAAATTACTACCACACAAACAAAGCAGGGGATTGGGAAAAACAGCACAGATTTACCAAAGGCAGCTCATATCTGAGCAACTGGACAGTGTCCTGCAAGATAACATCTTTAGCCAAGGTGGGGGAGCAGTGCTCATCGTTCACCTGCATTGCAACACACTGCTCCCCACAGCCTTCCTGGAGACACGCAGAGATGCAAGCAGGGCTGGGAGAGGCCATGCAGACATCCCATCTGCAGCTGCCCCAGGTGAGAGGTATGCAGCCCCACTGCTGCTGCTGACATGGGGTGGAGGGGACAGCTGTGGGGACCCCCAGGACAAAGCACACAGGGCTCAGCAGAGACCAGGCTGCACCACACTGCCACATGGTTCTGTTTATTCAGATATCGGAATTAAATCAGTGCACTATTTCATGAATAAGATGGGACTAATTCTGAATTAAAAAGCACGAAGAGCAGCTCTTATTCTCCCTCCCCAGGGAGAGCAGTGCCAAGTGACTGTTTGCAAAGCGCTTCTTCCTCTCCTTAGAGCATGCAGCTTTGGCCATAGCATCCCCCACTCTGCCCTGGACCTCAGTCTTCTTTGAAGCTCAGCTTGTCCTTCACCTTCCGTGCCATGTATGCAGCCGTGAGCACAGAGCAGGTCACAGTGAAGACACACAGGGCAGAGAAGTGGTGTGCCAGGTCACCCTGCAGCGAGGAATAGATGTGCCGCCTGGACTCATAGTCCAGCACCACAGCCTCGATCTGTGCCAGAGTGCAAAGCACCAAGAAAACATGAAAAATCTGATGGCTCTGCCCAAAGAAATAGCATTTCCCAGGGAGCAACTTTTCTGGGTAAGGATGGGAGAAAAAAAAGGCACCGATGAGGAAGAACAGCACCTGGCACTTGTGGTACAGCAGAGCCGGGTCCGTGTGCCCCGCAGGTGATGCGGTGCAGATGCGGTGCACAACAGGGCTGATGTCCAGCAGGTAGGCCAGGCCTGAGGGCACCTCCTGGCACAGCCGGCTCAGCAGCCATGCTGACTGATGGAAGTGGAACTTGGCATAGCACGAGCCTGCACATGACAGCCAGGCCAGCAGCGCAGCCGTGGGCATGAAGAAGCCCTGGATCCTCTCGTGCCAGCTGGGCTCGATGGCATAGTAATAGTGCACCAGTGCGCTGCCATACTGGTAGATGGCCACCCCTACGTAGTCCATGAAGAAGAAGCAGTAGTGCCAGAACTCAGACTTGGCCTGCAGGAGGTGAGCGAGTGTGCTGAACGTCAGGTAGGTGATGGATGCCGTGATGATGATGAGGAGCGGCTGGGCGTGCGGGTCCTGCCCAAAATCCACCCTCTGAGAGAGCTGCTGGAAACGCAGCAGCAGGATCAGAGTGGCCACCAGGTGAGTCCACACATTGATGGCTTCGTTGTGTTGCTGGAAGAGCGTGGAGAAGTAATAGCTCCAGGTTTGGTGCACCGGGCGGTAGCCGGTGTGGATGTAAGGCTTCCAGAAAACCCTCGGCACCTCGGAGCTGCTGACAGTGGTGGGCACTGGGGGGACCAGCAGCTGGGGGACCTGGCGCACGTTGATGAAGAGGCGGCTGAGCTTCTCTGCCACCACCGCTGCCATGGTGCAGCCACACTGCAGCTCTTGTTGCTCAAAAGCACCTTGGGACAAAAGAAAGACAGTTTTGCTGTGGGGTTTAATAACAACTTTACCAAAGAGGCTGCCTGAATGCCTTTTTTTTTTTTTTCTCCTCTCATATGTAAAATCCTGTATGATTAAAGAGTGACCTCGTTACAGCTGACATAACAGATTCACTAAAAAACAGCAATATGAAGGAATGGCAAGGGATGCTTCAGCAGTGCCATCAGTGTGCCCCATTTCATACAGGTGACACCATCTGGAAGAGCAGAGAGGTAATTAACCCCATACTAGTGCTCTGTAACGCTGTAATTAACTCTCCAGGGCACAGTGGTTCCTAGTGCAGTTCAGCTCACCCCCTCCCTGCACTTTAGAGTGTTCTAACAACTTCCCCCTCCAGCAACAGCCTCAACTTTCCCTTGCTGGTTGCCTGCAGCATCTGTGTTCCCAAGCTGCAAGGAGGAGCATCCTGCAAGCAGGCTGGCAGCTGCCCTGCAACACCACTGAGACCACAAATAACTGCAATGTCAGAAACAGGACATGTGAGTGAGATGGTCTGAGTTCTCAGCATCGTTTTCCAGCTCCACATTTTCCATGTGGCTTCACACAAAGACAGTGCAGCCTGAGTAAGTTTGTCCGGTTGCATCACTGATGTCCAGCAGCGTAATCTCAGTGAGCAAGCTTTCCATATTTACATTTTTGCAGCTGCTGTCCCTACTGAGATAAAGGCAGCCTCCCCAGCTTGTTTTGCCTTTTCACAGCAACCTTAAGAACTGAACAGAATTTGCTCGAGGTGATCCCCCACCCCACTCTTTACCTGCTCTTGCTCAGACAAGTTGGGAAGAAACCAGCCCAGCTCCGGTGCTGCTTTAAGCCTCAGCTCCTGCCAAGTTCAGTCACTTCAAGTATGGCTCAGCCAGGAAAAGCTCTTCAAAGTTTGGAAATAGGAGGGGGAGGGAATGGGACTGGATTTAAAAACAAGAAACAACAGAAACAACAAACCCACCTCTAGAATTTCCTCATTGGAATGGAACAGATAGGTCCAGAACTCACGCCTGCCTGAAGCTGAGGAGCGGAAATGCAGACAAAATCAGCTGTTTACTGCTTGGCTTCCCTCTTAAATGCTCCTTCCCCACCTTGCCTGCTGACTGAGGCACTGCACCAACAGCAGCCACTGGCACAGGGTGACCCTTGTCCTTGCTCGACCTCCTGTGACACGGGCAGGGCGCCCAGGAAAAGCCAACTTAGTGAACCTTTCGTGCTCACAGACCTGCTGATCTCAAATAGTCGCAGCGCTGCAGCAGCTTTTGCTGCTGACAAAAACAGAACTGGCTGGGTGAGGCTGATTTGACCAAATCTTTCCAAAACAAAGCCCTGGTGTCACACGGAGAGCTCGCCCTGTGCCTGCACGTGGGGAGGTGGCTCAGCTCTGGCTTCAGCCCCTAACAGTTCTGCTGCAAAAAGCCCCTGGGAGGAACACTGGGGTGAGGCTAAGGGAAATGCGTGCCCAGAGCAGCCCAGCACGGGGCAGGAAAGGCACCGCAGCATGGCACAGGCTCTCCAAAACTTGTCGGAGCAGGACTGAATCTACAAAGCTCTTCCTAGCTGCAAAACCTGAAGCAACATTCAGTATGAGCAGATCAAGTTCTGCACGGTACCAGCAATCATTAACCCGCCTTGAGCTCGGAATAACAGCTTCCACACAACCGTGAGATGTCAGCAACGCTGCCTTTAACGCCTATTATTTCCTGCGGAGCTTCCTTTACCCCAGCAGCACCCGCCCACCCGCTGGATGGGATGCAGCCTCAGCCCTTCTCCGCCGTACGGACGGCGTTCAGCATCCCGCAGCACAACGCTCCGCTGCCGGTCCCGCCCAGCTCATCTCCGCACGATCCCTCTCGTAGCTCCATCCCAGCCCCAACCCTTCCCTTCCCCATCCCACATCCCTGCCCTCACCTGCTGAGCTCTCCTCGGAGCACCGATTCCGACGGAGCCCCCGCAGCGGCCGCCCCAGCACCGGATCCGCTCCGCCCCGTCGGGAAACGCCGCCGCCCCGCGTGGTGCGGAGGGGCAGCGGGAGAGCAGCCCTCGGCCTCCGCCTATCGGAAAGCCTCTTGTATTATTCCTTCATTTATGTCATTATCCCTCTCCCTTACTCCTATCACCCTTGCAGCCCAAATAAGGCTTTTTGTAGCTCGCTCCTGAATCAAAGAGTATCTAGTAAGGCAGCTATGAGCTCGTGTAGTCATTTTTAAGTGGCTTTTTCCACCTTCCCGCCTGAGCACAATGGCTGTTTTCCTCCTCCTCCCTCAGTACTCACATCCCCGAGCTTCACTCCCAACTCAGAACTCCTCTCCGAGGAGTTAAGCTCCATTTATGCTCACAGCAGAAGCCATGGAAAGAACTAAAATGAAGGAACAGAAGGGCCCAAGTTTGCATCTGACAGCTTTTGGCAAGTCAGAAACTCGTGTTTTAAAAGTCTTTGTGTTCTTAGTGCCAGCTGGGTTCTGGCAGCGCTGTCATCCTTCTCTCCTCCCCCAAAAAGAAGGGGGGGCTTCCAGCATTAGGGGTACTTGGGTTTTGCTCAGGCAGCAGATGAACACGTTAAACTGAAGAGCTGATTTTTTTTTTCCCCCCCCATTGCTACTGAAGTATGATCTTAAATATAGGAAGTGATTCAGTGATGACTTAAGCCTCTACAAGGCAACAGAGAGACACTCAGAGCTTCAAGCCCATCTCCACAGTGAGCACATTTCACACTCCTCTTCACCTCTGCAGCTGGATTCTCACACCAATTTCTGTGCTGTCTGCTTACATGGCAATAACACATGCCTCTAACCTCATTAATCCTGCACTGTACCCCACTGCAGCTGGCTGGGTGCTTACAGGCAGACAGAGCCCATTTTAAATTGTCATCTATGTGACACCAGCACTCAAAAATCCTTCACACAGGATCTCAGCCATCCCACCTATCACCATTGGCTTTATGTCACTGCACTGGCCAACTTTTCCTTTTGTTTCAACAGAAGCCTTATCCCACATCCTCTTCCCCTTTCCATTTTTGCTATTTAAGTACAAGTTCAATACAATCAAAAGCACTAAGCATGAAATATGAAAGCTCCCTAAATGTTTCCTCATTAGCAAGCCCCAGAAAAAAAAAGGTAAATGATCCAGGACTCAGTAACACCCATTGAATAAGAGAAATCCTCACCTCGTTTTCCATCCTCCAAATACTAAACTGTCACCAGGTTGGTGCCAGATGATCCAGGCATGAATTAAACCCAAGCAAACCCCAAAATCAAGGACAACAGGAGAAGGCAGGATAGGAGCAGAGCCTCTCTGTACCTGACAGGAGGAGCTGCAGAACACTGAGCTTCCCTGCTCTGAGGGAAGGAACCACAAAAGCCAACCACTTCAGATCAGGGCACTGTTCATAATGAAAAGGAGGGTAGTTGTTAACTCATCCTAACTACAATCTTGTCTTTACTGCAGAGCAGTATGAGTTCTTGTGGGTGTGCCACACAGTAATCTTAAAGGAAAAGTGGTATTTTGTTTTTTTAAAAAAGCACCTGCACAGTGCAGACACTCTCCTCCTGAAAAGCATCTTTACTCACAGCACAAGTACAGTTACATCTGCTTCACTGCCCAGAAAAACAAACATGACACACGTTCCCATGGGCAGGAGCTATCTTCAGACTCACCCTGCAGCAGTTTACTCCAACACCAGTCAGTACTGCTGTCTGCAGCAGACATCAAATCAAAAGCAAATCTCTAACAGCATTCTGCTGGGGGAGGCACATGATGGTAACACAGAAGGGGTTTGGGTTTCACCGAAGCTCTGTGATGCTGCAGGAAGTGGTACACAACTCCCAATTCAATAGCACAAGTTATCACCCAGAAACCCTTACCAAAATAAAAAGAAGGGTCAGATCAGAGTCATGTGGCAACAAAGACGTGTTTGTTGAAGCATCAGCATCTGAAGGGAGGTGGTTCTAAACCATTTCAACAAAAACACACAACAGCTGACAACTGCTGAGGTGTCAAAACAAAGCTCTTATTGTAAAACTGAGACAATGAAAGCGCTCTAGGGAAGAGCCAGTTATGCAGCATGCCCATGGATGTAAGGAAAAGTGCTGTTACAGAGCTTTCTATGCAGTGCTGGGGAAGGATGCCTGCTGGAGGCCTCAGCCAACTGTTTATGTCATTTTCAGAAATCATTCTCATGATAACAGCACTGTGCAGCTTTATTTAGTCACTCAGTTACAGCAGTATTTTAAAAGACTGGGACAGTCAGATTTTTTGAAGTGTAACATATTCAGCATGGAACAGTATACTACATATTCCTTTCACAAATGTCTTACAGAGCTGATACAGTACTAGCCATCAATCCAGCAGCAAGCGCTCTGGAGTAGAAAAGGATGCAACAAGATAGCTACACTGGAAAGACAACTTTAGAAAAAGTGAAACATGTAAGGTCTCCCCTCTAGTCCCCAAAGAAAGCATACAGTTTGGATCTAACTTTACAGTTCTACATCAGTTTCTAGAAACTTAAAAGAACAAAACCAAAAAGCAAAACCACTGGCCAGTACAGTCTTTGGATATTTAGAGGAGGGGGAGAATGTCAGTTTCCAGAATGAAGTCAGTTGGTTTCGGCCTCACCAGGGTCTTTGCCTTCTTTGTTCTTTCGAACCTCTTCGATATGCTTATCCTGAAAGACATGAGCAAGGACATATCAGCCCCCCAGGCCCAGAGGCAGGGCACACAGCAAAGTGAGCCCCAGCTTGCTTCCCACCCCTCAGCTCACAGCAGGTTCCTAATGGGCATCACTAAAGAAGGCAAGCAGCCCAGTGTCACCCCAGCTCCCCAAAAGGAACATTTCTACAAACTCTTTTGTGGATTTAATAATCTTATTTCAAAATTAGAACTCCACAGAACACTGAAGGGTATCTGTCTGCTCCCTCACACGGCCATTTACTTGGCTTTACCTATCTTTATTGATACATTCCCTCCCAGACAGAACCAGGACTCTACACATACCTTCTCCCTCAAGCGTTCCAGTTTGGCAGCCATTTGTGCCTCACGGTTCTCTTTGTTAGCTTCCATTTTGTGGGTCAGCTTCTCCTCTGCCATTTTGCTGAAGTTGTTGTTCTCTTCAATTGCTTTCTGAAGCACTTCTTTTTCATGCTCCCGTTTCTCAGCTAGCTGCTTCAAGACTTCTGCTTCATGAGACTACAAACAGACCACGCACGTTTTGAACACAGAAACAGATGAATGAGGACAACTACAATCCTATTGCTTGCAATTCCTAAGAAGAGATTTCTCTGCTCTTTTCCCCAAAAGAGAACAACTTCCTGATGCAATACAAAGCTGCCTAGTACTTTCTCCACCCCCACAGCCTACATTTCACCATTACAAACCACACAGGAAAGCAAATTTCTATCATAACTGAAGTCTTGACAAGTGGGATACTTCCCAGAACAAACAATATGGGTAGGTTTTCATTTCAGCAGACACAGTTGTTTTTCTCAGTAGTGTTTGGTATGATGTTATGCTTTGATTTTAGGCAAAAAGCAGTGTCAATAACATACCAATGTTTCTAGGTGTTGCTAAGCAGGGCTACAGAGAACCAAGGACATTTCAGTTTTCTTAGCTTCTCCTACTGTCTTGCCAGCAAGGGGACTGGGGGAGGCACAAGGAGCTGGGAGGGGACAGAACCAGGAGAGTTGACCTAAACTGGCCAAAGAATGGCTACTCCATACCATGTGACACCAGGCAGAAAGTAAATTTAAAGAAAGGAAGTTCATCAGGGGGTGGTGAGTAACTGCTTGTACGTGACTTGTCATATTTATACATAGTTATAATCATTATATGTGTATATAAGCTTTTTTCCCCCCCTCTTCCTTTTCTCATATCTTAGGCTTTTTTTTTAAGCCTCAACTCAAGCTCTACTTTTTCTTTTTTGTCTAATTCTCTCTCCTGTCCCACTAGGAAGGGGGAAGGAGGGAATGAGCTAATGACTGCATGGTGCTTAGCTGCCTGCCAGGCTAAACCACAGCAGGATATTTGATGCTAACACCTATGGAACTCTCCTACTTCTCAAAATGGCAGGTTACTGTGATTCTGGTTGCACAGGAGACTGCACCCCACTTAGTAAGCCTCTGCACTGCTAAGGGCGCCAAACCACATCTGAACAGCAGGAACTTACCTCAAGATACTTTACTCACAAGGATTCTAGTTGCAGATTCATCACTAGATATTGTAGAAGAAAGTGAATCCTTAACAGTACAGACTTAAGAGCAGCTTCTTTCCTGAAACAGCTTCCCCTCCCAGCTAAATATCTCCCTGCTTTTCAAGCGATCATTCAAAACCCTTTTGGGAATAAAGCTTTGTAAGAACAAACCCAAGTTCCTAACAAAGCTGAATTAACATTCACAATGTAATACCAGAAATAAACTGCTAACCACTCGTCTTAAGAAAGAAACTGTATTTAAGAAAATCCCACTGCTTGCAGATCTCACTTTAATCTATCGTTTCAAACGTACCTTGCGTCTCTCTTCTGCTGCTTCCAGTTTCTTCTGAATTTCTTCCAATGACAGATCCTTCTTTTTTGGAGGAGAAAGAGGAAATTCTGGGGCTGCCTCTTTTGAGCGGGGACCAAGGATCAGCTCAAATGCCTGCCCAGAGGCACGCTTTTCCAGTTCTTTCACTTGGATATCTAGGAACACACAACAACAACAACCCTCAGTGGTGTTTTAAGCCAGGAAACTGACTTGGCTAACACGAGCAAGCCTTCAGTAATTCAATGCCACCAAGCTGGCTTAAGGAGACAGCTGCATCTGAGCCAATAGCTGTGTTTTAAGCAACAGCACCACTATTTTAAAAAAAGAAAAAAAGGCAGCGGACAATTTTGTCTGCCGTTCTTCCTGGATACTGCATCAAAGCACCTGATGCTATTGCAGCCTTACGTATCCAGAGTCACAAAAACTAGCATGGCAGGACTCCAAATAGGGGAAAAAAGAAAAAAAAAAAAAATCCCTTCCTTTCAGTGAAATCTGAGGCAACGTTTTTATTCGTTAAAAGCCAGGAGAGCCAAGAACTGACAACAGCTCCCACGGAAACACGCAAGGCAGCGTTCTGCTCTTTGAAGACCTCTGAGCAGACACCTCAGCCCCGCGCAGTTTCCTTTTTGATCACCCAGCTGCCTGCATGACAGTTCTGTTGGCTGAGCAGATGGCACACAGACGAACCGCATCCTATCTGCTAACAGCGTGTGATGGCTCGGGGTGCTGCTTTAACAGCTTCTGCACAGCAAGCCTAGCGATGGGAGAAAAGCACGGCGAAAACAGTTAATTATACATTTGGTGCAGCTCAATTATTGCAGAGGGAAGCAAGCAGAACAATGCAAAAGAGCATCAAGCATATCGTGCTCCGTACCAGAAGTAGCCATGACCGAGGCAATCCGCCTGCAGGAGCCAACAGGAGACCTTCAAGCAGATAAAGTCCTGGAAAACAAAGAAACGTCTGAATCGCTCGTGGTTTCTGGACGCGTTTGGAATCCGACTGCATTCATTCGCCGAGCAGCAGACAGACGGCTGGTTCGCTGCACGGCGTTATCTTTCCCTTTGTTTGAATCCACGTCCATTAAAACACGCAAAACCAGCAATGTCAGCGCTCCCCCACCCCACCCCGCAGCACCGAACGGGCGGACCCGACCCCAACCCCAACCCCGACCCACCCCCCCCATCCCGTCGCACTGCCCCGCTCCGCCCTCCGCCAGCCAATCAGCGCCGCGCGTTGCGGCGGAGGCCCCGCCCCTCCCAACCGCACCGAATTCAAACGGCCGAGCGAGACGACGCGCGCGCAGGCGGGCGGGGGGCTCCGAGGGGGCGGAGCCAACGGCAACATCCGGGCTCTATCCGACGCCCCCCCCCCCCCCCCCCCCCCCCCCCCCGCCCTCCTCCAACCCGCAGGGAAAAGGCCCCAACGCGAGAGGGGCTTCGCAGGCTCCGGGGCGCGGCCGGGCGCCGCCCCTTCCCCAGCTGACAATGGCGGGGTGCTGTCAGCCGGGGGCGCGGCCGCCCCTTCTCTCCTCTC